AGCAGGGAACTTCGGCCAAGTGAGAAAATGCACTCCACAGCCAGTGCTCTTCAATTTCTTAGAGTCTTAGAGAATTTCCTGGGACACAGGGCGGTTCAGTGGTGTGCCTGTGAACAAGGAGCCAGGACAAGACTTAAATCCAGGTCTTCTTGACTTTGAGGCTAGCTCCCCATCCACCATTCTCGGGAAAGAATGAAAGGTTTCACAATTTGATCTAAGAAAAGGCCAAACAAAAAATTGTGGGGGAAAAAAAAAGAAAAAAATTGTGGGGCTTTTTGACCCATCTACTATTAGTGACACCAACTTCACAAGAAATCTCAGGAAGTTCATTTCAGTGAGGCCTTGAAAAAGAAAGCCTTTAGAGGGGGATTAAAACCCAAAGTGGAAAATACACTTCAAAGGGAGTAGAGCAGAAAAGAAGGAACACAAGACTTCGGTTTAAATCATTCCTCAGAACTTCTCTCTGGGGATAATTAATATTATGAGATTACATTAATAACTATTTATTAATTAGTGATCCATCCCTTCCCTCCTATTTCTTTTAAGATCCAAATCCAGACAAGGTCAGTCTCCGAAGGGCATGACTAAGTGATAAGATTACTCCTAGCCCCCAGGGCTACATTAACTAGGTTGGGCAGGACCCCACCCAACTGGGAAACCTCATTTCTGTTTAGAATATAAAGAGAAATCAGTCTGGGCAAAAACCCTTACCCTGAGGAAAAAAACTCTGTCCTTGACCCCCTCCTTTAACAGTTTAGGGCGCTCTAGCTCGTGATGAAGAAAACTAGCCAGAGAGGTCCAGATGGAATTGGCTTTCCTTGCCCAGACTGCTGGAAAGTGCTGAGTCTTATGATTAAGCCACAGGTCCTCAGCAGGAGAAGCTGAAGACTTTTATCCCTTTAGACTTTTAATTATATCCACCATTTCACTTGTCAAGGGAGTTCCCTGTCAGAAGGTACACATTTGATTTAAGAGTTTCAGAATCTCAATTGGCATCTTCGGTTACCAAACCCCACCCCCCCATCAATTTATTGGTTAATAAGTAGCATAATTAATAAATTGATTCATTAGCTACACTTCAGACTCTGCCTCACTTAAATCTAATTTACGCATAATCAAAAGACATCGCCCATACCATTTTACCTATCTCAAAGTCTTGTGGCACCAGGAAAGTGAGGAAGCAGCAGGTGTGGATTACAAAGGTGTAGTCACAACCTTTCACACAGGCAGCCCAGGCCATAGGGTTGATTTCTCACTGGAAGGAGCACTGGGATTTGGCAGCCCCCTGGGTGTCTGAGCAGCCTTTAAAGGATTGCACTGCTCACCTCCTGATGTGAGGAAGGGGCTAGAATAGGTGCCCTAAAAATTGTCTGCTTACTCAACCCTGGCCTGATTACTATGACAGGCAGAAAATCCCACTCTGTGGTTGAAACAAAAAAATGTACGAAAACATCTGCAAAGACAATTCCAGTCACCATCAGCACATAGAATGTGTGCACACTTATAGACAACACAAAATTCTGTAGAGCTGGAAGAAGAACAGCTCTTGGTGCAAGAGAACTCAGCAGGTATCGTTCAAACTCTGCTTCACAGAGCACAACTCCAGCGTGCCACCTGATTCGAATGCAAAAGGTATGCTTGCCAAAAAGACTATTTTATGGAGAACTCACACAGGGCAAGTGCTCACATGGTGGTCAAGAGAAGGGATACAAGGACACTCTCAAGGTCTCTCTTAACAACTCGGGAGTTGACAGTGTGACATGGGAGACACTAGCACAGGACAGCCCAGCATTGCATGCCCACATCAGAGAAGGTGCTGTGCTCTATGAGCAAAACAGAACTGAAACAGCTCAAAAGAAACGCAAGGTGTGTAAATTTAGAGAATCCACCCTAAATGTTCACACGGACTATTGTGCCTGACCTGTAGTAGAACGTTCCAAGCTAGTTTAGTATTGTTCTGATCACCCACCTTGGGACACAATGAAACTTGACTCCAGCATAGTGATGTCATTTTGGCCCTCTTCAAGAACAAAGGACAACAACCAAACAGCTATGCCTCAGACTCAGTTTCCTTATCTGTAATAAAATAAAGCTAACATCACCTACACCTAGAGTACTTATGTCACAGCATTGTGGTGAGATCAAGGGAAATAACTGATGTAAAGCACTTCATAAGCTTTAAAAGTAATGTCTTGCTATTATTCAAAGCTCAGATAATGCTGATCAATTGAACAGTATCATTCCTTATGTCACAGTGTCTGAATGGGAGGAAGAGGGAATAGGATATAGGAAACCTGGACATAAAGAGTCTGGCCCCAGTCCCCAGGAAGGTGGGAGAGTGTGGGGGTGGGGGTAGCCACTATATGATGAACTCAGTGAGTGGCAACTAAGCCTGGAGACCGTGGCTGCCCCACCTCTTCCCCAGAAGCATTCTGTACTTTGTTCTTTATGGCTCAGTTTAAATCTGTTACCATAGAACCAATCGTTCTCCCAGTTTCTAATTTCTCTCTCCTGTGCATAATGGCCCAACTGCCATTCCTACTGCCCAGAGCTGACTCCTGTCACTCGCCTGCTCAAGAAGTTCCAGGAGCTATCTCCAGTACAAAGGCTCTGGATGGCATTTAAAGCCCTTCACAAGCTGGTTCCAGCCGACCTTGCTGGGTTGAGACACTCCATCACACTCCAGGACACCTATGTCTCTGCAGCAATGGACACTGCCTTCCCGTAGTAACAACTACCTGAATTCATTCTTCAGATTATTTTATTCCCAATCCTCCTCCTCTCCTAATGAGAACAGGTTTTCAACCCAAGACTGCCCCCACTGACTACTCCCTTAATGCCATCCCCCCTCAACTCAACCCTGTCTACCCCTTCCACTGTGTTCTCTTGAATGCCTGCTCCATCAGTAACAAACAAGCCTCCACCTTAAACCTTTTCCCTTTCTTGTTCTATCTTTTTTCTCTAAATAAGACCTGGCTCCCTCCTCTGTGATCATTCTTTCCAGCCCTGATGCACTTTCACTCTTATATCCACTCGCCCCGCCCACTGGTCAATGAGGGATGAGAACACTTCTTGCTCCTCACTGCCACTTTGAGATTCTCCCTCACAAATTTCTCTGAAGTTGGCCCGAGTCTCCATCACCCAATCAAGCCTGGGGAAGCTGATGTCCATGGACCTCCAGCAAGCTCTTCATCCTTCCTCAACAAGTTCTGTGCCTTGATCAGTCTTTGGTCTCTCCCCAATTCTTGTCCTCGCACTACAGAACTCCAACTTCATACTGATACCCCTTCAAACACCCTAACCTCCAAATTCCTCAATTTACTCATTTCCCATAAACTACTCTTCCACCTCAACTTAGTCCCACACAGAGATGGTCATACCCTTAACCTTGGCATCATACACAAGGGTTCTGCTTCTATGTTGATGAATTCTGAAATTCCCTTATTTTTGTTATTCTGCCTCTCCCTCTGCCTTGCAAACCCAAATCCTATTCCTCATCCTAATTGTGACCCCCAATCCCTCCACCCTTCATTTCTTCGTCAGGCCATCATCCCTGCACTAGCTACATTCACCTCCCTTCCCTACCTGGACCAGTTCCCTACCCTGATGAACCAGTTCAACTCTATATTGTCCTCTTCTTGAGACACCAGTCACTTGCCCCCTTAACCTACCAAAGATCTTGCTCTGCCAAGCCTCAGCCTATACTCCCACCATCTGCTTCCTTCACTCCTAAATCACGAGTGTTGAACAAAGCTTTCCTATATGCCTCCTTCTTCTCACAATGACACTACTCTGGTGCAGGCCCTCACCTCCTCATACCTGGACTATTTCAACAGAGTGCCGATCGGTCTCCCTGCCTCTAGTCTCTCCCCACCTCCAGTCTATCCTCTACTCAATTGTCAAACTGATCTTCCTACAATGCAGGTCAGATCAGGTCATCCTCCTGCCCCCCAATTCAATAGATACTTTAGTGGCTCCCTATCTCCTGCAGGATCAAATATAAAATCCTCTATTTGGTAGTCAAAGCCCTTCATAACCAGGCTTTCCGACCTTTCCATTCTTCTAACACCTCACTTCCCCCTCCCCCACATAGCCCTGCTTCCTCGAAGTTCCTCACACACTATACTCCATCCGCTGACTCCAGGCATTCTTACTGACTGTCCTCCATGCCTGGATCTCACTCCTTCCTTGTTTATGCCTCCTGGCCTCTCTGGCTTTCTTCAAGTTCCAGCTAAAATGTTATCTTCTATAAGAAGCCTTTCCTAGTCCTCTTTAACCTGCATGCCTTCCCTTTGAATGCCTCCCTTGTTGAAAGTGGATTTTGAGAAGAATATTAACTGACTCCATTTTGTGCAATGTTTGCTATTATTATATAAATGTACTGAATGTCTTCTTCAGTACCTCCCTTTCCCCAATGATTTTACTGTTACAAAAAAAACTGAATAGTTCCCCAAAACTCATCCTCTTCTCTTTATCTGAGCTAATAAGGCTTTATTAGGAGCTTAACAAATGCTTGGACTGATAAAGAAGATACAGTTTTCTTCAATCTGGTATAAATGGCTATCCTTGAAGAGTGAGACTTTTCTTTAAATGTTGTATCCCTAGGTATAGCTAACGGTTTGATGCATTCAATAACTGCCAACTGAATGAGTGAGATTCAATAAAACAAATCCTTAAAATATTTCTTCAATTTGGATTAATATGTGGTATGAAACATTCACAGTTAGTTAACCATTTCTTTTTGTGTCAGCTATACCTATCAAGAAATATTAATTCAGACAGTAAAACTCAGCTTTTAATGAACTTTCTTCAAAAATTTATGATTGTCCTACAGCAAACCATTAAATTTTAAGTGAAAAGCTATTACAAATTTCTAGCTTTCAATTTATGCAATTCATTTGTACTACTTTACCTTTTGAAATAAACTTCAAAAATATAAGCTGTAAGTCAAATGTCCACATACATGTACATAATATAATCAAGTGAAAGGAAATACTTACCTTAACTTTCTGACCATAAGCAGCTAGGATGTCTACTCAAGATGTATCAGTTGACACTTAACATACATTTCACTAAAAATGAAAAGATATATTTCTTTTAATGAAAGTATTTCTTTAACAAATGATAGTAACTCTTATAAAAAGGATGTTGTCAATGAAACCTTTCCAGATTTCCCCAACTTCTAGTGCCTGTCCTTTCTCTTCAACCACTTTCCATTTAACTACCTTGTATTTATTCTCCTTATATATTTCTGTATGTATTTGTTTCCCTTAGAATATAAGACTCCTGAGTGTATGGATTGTTTCATTCTTTATATTTCTGTCCCCAAAGTCTAGTACAGTGCTTATAAGGCAGGAGTTACTTAATAAAAGCTTGTTGATTTTGAGATCACTGACTAACCTGGATCAATTAGGCAACATTAGCAACATTTGAGAATACTGTGAAAATTAGAGAGTTTCAAGTACACATTCTGTTAGGTAAATTAAATATCTAAGAATTTATAGTAATTTCTAAGCCACCTAAATTTATGCCATTAAAAGCTGTATAATACATGTAAGTTGATGATTAATATTTGTTAGATTAATAATGACACGAATCATTGTGCTTCTAACTGCCTAATTTACAACTAAGGAAGAATTTGCTATCTACTTCAATATAACAACCTTTCTCCTAAGAAGCAAAAATATAAAGTAAATGCAATGTTGACTATCATACAGGTTGCATAATACTTGTAAATATGGGAAGAGAGCAAACAAACCTGCAGGGTAAGCCTTTCAAGAGTCACTTGACTTTTTTTTAGTCAAATATGTTGCTAATCATACAGATGAAACTCTATAAATTATCATTTAACCAATACAATATTCCTAAATAAGAATTTAATGGAATTGTTGTATTTAGGATTATTAAATAACAGCTGGGGTGCCAGCTAGGTGGCACAGTGGATAGAGCACTGGCCCTGAAGTCTGGAGTACCTGAGTTCAAATCTGGCCTCAGACCAAACACTTGACACTTACTAGCTGTGTGACCCTGGGCAAGGCACTTAACCCCAAAAGCCTCACCAAAAAAACAAACAAACAAACAAAAAAAAACACCTGGAAAAGACCTCAGGATCTTCTAGTATAAACACTTAATTTTATAGATGAAGAAATTGAAATGTTGAGAAGTCAGAGGAGTTGGGCCAAGGTCACAAAGTAATTTCCTATTTGTAAAATGCAAAGGATATGTTTCAAAGAGTTAGCAACAAAAGTCATAGTATAGAAAGGAAAGCTGCAAATTAATTGTATTAACTGTGAATTTCTTAGTTAATTCATTGACACTAATGAAAAACTTCAGTGGAAAAACAATAGAATAGTCTACCAAAGCATCTTCCTATTTCAAGGTTAGTCGGTTTGTAATATCTTAAACATCAGGTTAATCTCAATGAAATACATGCTTATCTGCCTCACTCATAAAAATCCCAATGGCTCCTTAGTCTCCCAGGTGGTATCAAATTCCTCATTCCAGGTATCAATTGCATCTGAAATTTGCCTACAATCAAATTTCTCCAGTACTAACATTTAATTGCCGAAAATTTATCTCCTCCTTGTTTCCATTACAATGACTGACTTATCTACCACTACCCATTTCTGAAGCCTAATCATACTTTAAAGCAAGAGTTTTGTGCTTTGATTATAAACAACTTATCCAACATTCCCTAACTAGACTGTAAGGTCAAAGAAGGAATTTACATTCCTGTGTATGAACTTTATCTCTCAATTACCGAGCCAATCTCCTGGAGTGCTCCTCTCTAATTAGGGCTCTAAATCTTTGCCTGCTAACTCCTATGAATTTCCCAAGAGCATAACCTCATTAAAGACCCAGAAATGACCATTATTTATTATTCCAGGTCTCGAAGGCACTCAGGTCTTCTTGACTCCATGTCTAGCATTCCATCCACTGAGCCAACTAGCTGCCTGCCACTTAACTGATACCTTGACTTATACATTAGTTTCCAGACTCAGTCTTCCTGTATTATTGTGAATACTGGACAGTCTGTGAACAGCCCTCAAGATGAGGCCACCAGATAGCCCACCTTAGGGCCCCTAAGGTTAATATTTGTAATTTTGGGAAGAGAGCAACCAAATCTGTAGGTAAAGCCTTTCAAGAGTCATTTAATTAATTTTCATATATAATATATATAATATATATAATATATATATATAATATATATAATATATATATATAATATATATATTATATATATATATTTTTTTTTTTTAGAAAAAAGGTTAGGAACAAGAGAATCTGGCTGTAGAATCATCACTTGAGGTAACTGGAGATATGTCTGAGGGCCACCACCACCCTGACCATCATCTCCCTTCAGTCCCCAATGGATACAGCCCAGGTCCCTGTACCTGAGCCTTGTGCCCTCAGCCATCATTCTGGGAAGCAACCCCTGTGGAGATGCAGCCTGTCTATTCATTGCTCCTATAGGAGCTTCAGCTATAGCTCCTGAAGACCCAGAAAAGAAAGTGCTTGTCCCCAAAGTCCTTGGCATTGCATCTGGAACTTACCATTTTATCGGTGAAAATGACATTAAAGAAGAGCTGTTAACATATGCCTTTAAAAAATTATAAAGAATTTTGCCCTTGAAAACAAAAAAACATTTTGCTTTGCAAAAAACATCTGCACCCTAAAGACCACGGGGCCTTTCCAAGTGCCTTGTAACTGAAACCTCCTCCATGTGTTTTTGCCTCACTAAAAAAGTGAGCTCTCAGAGCGCAACGCCTGTCCTACGTTTCCGTCCCTAGCGCACAGACGGCGCTTTGTAAACGCTTTTCTGTCCTTTTCATTCAGGTCCCAACCCACAAGGGGCAGGAACCTCATCAGAAGCGTTTGATTCATAGCATCCTGGACTTAGGGCAGGAAGGGACCTGGGAACGTCATCATCAACCTCCTTATTTCACAAACATGGAACCCTAGGCCAGAGAGGTAATGCGCCTCCTGTGTGCCGGGCCAGGGACCAGCACTGGGGATACAGGAAGAAGCAGAACCAGTCTCTGCTGTCTAGAAGGGTAGGTGACTCGCCCAAGACCACACAACGCGGCTGCTTTGGAAGCCCGGTCTTCCGGTGTCCGAGTTCAAAGCCGCCGCAGCACGTGGCCCCTCCACAGGCCGTGACCCTTCCTCCGGGGTAGGGGGCGGGGTCTCCATGCTAGGCCTCTGGTCGGAGCCTCCCGCCTCAGGACTTCCCCCCAGCCCCAGGGGCCGAGCCCTGGCTTCGGCCTTGCCTGGGCCTCCCCGGCCGCCCGGGGCCGGCTCACTGACCTCAGGAACCCCCAAGCCACGATGACCGGAAAGCTCCAGGAAGGGCGCCGTCCAGAGGAGAAGAGGGGAGAGCCGGAAGGAGGAGGCGGGGCCTGACCCGGACCCGGCAGCGCTGGGGGAGGGGGCACGCTCCGGGCCGTCCCTCAGGCGCGGCCAAGGCCGCGCGCCGACTGTAGACACGCCCCTTCCTCCCGCCTCCTCCCTCGCGCGCGGGCACGAGCGGGGGCGCGCTCGGGAGGGCAGGCGGCCTGGAGCGCGAGCCTCGGGCGCGCGCGTCGGTCGTCACAGAGGCGGCGGCGGCGGCCGCGGTGGCGTTGGGGGCCGGGGTTCCCCCCAGCACCACCACCCCCCCCCCGCAGAGGCGCCGGGCGCGCGCGCGCCCCCCCCCCTCCCCCTCCCCCCCCCCCCCCCCCCCCCCCCCCGCGCTCCTGCCATTAAAAGGCGTAGCTCTGGCCGGCGTCCCGGAAAGCCCTTCCTTCGCTCCCGTTAGGCTGTAAGCGCTGAGAAGGGAGGAGAAAGCAGCGAGCCAGGAAGCCGAGCTCCCTCCCGCCGGGCCCTACCGCCCCCGTCTCCGAGCCGCCCCCATCCCCGAGCCTCCTCCGCCGCCGTCATGTTCCGGTACCTCGGGGAAGCGCTGCAGCTGTCCCGGGCTGGGGCCTCGGCCGCCGCCGCGGACCCCGCCGCCTCCGCCCTGCTCCTGCGGGCCCGGGGCCAGCCCGCCGCCGCGCCGCCGGCCCCTCGACGCCACTACAGCGAGGCGGCCGGGGCCGGCGATGACGATCCCAACTTCTTCAAGATGGTGGAGGGCTTCTTCGACCGCGGCTCCAGGATCGTGGAGGACAAGCTGGTGGAGGACCTGAAGACGCGGGAGACGGAGGAGCAGAAGCGCAACCGGGTGCGCGGCATCCTGCGCATCATTAAGCCCTGCAACCATGTGCTGAGCGTCACCTTCCCCATCAAGAGGGACAACGGCTCCTGGGAGGTGATCGAGGGCTACCGGGCGCAGCACAGCCAGCACCGCACTCCCTGCAAGGGAGGTGAGTGGCGAGGGGCCGGGGGGTCCCGAGATGGGCTAGTGGGCGGACCGATGCTCCCCTGCAAAGTTCCCTTTCGAGGATGCACCAGCGCGGGGCCGTTAGTGCTGGTGTTTGAATTGTAAAATAAAGTGTAGATTGGGATGTGTAGAAGGGGAGCCAGAAAGCACCCCCCTCCTATTCCTGACACGTCTACGACTCCTGCTCCTCCTTACCCTGTCCATGGAGAGGGTACCTTAAAAAAAAAAAAAAAGACTTATTCCGACTCTAAGGGAGAATTAGCCAGTAAGTTTAACTTCAGACCTACTTGAAGGTTTCACGGGTCGCTCTCCAGTCCCCTCTAATGTCACTTGCCCAGGAGGTATAGAACTGATTGTTTTTTACCAGATAACCCGGCCCCCTCTTCCTAAAAATCAGTGCCACTCGGTTCGTGTCCTGGGGCTGTGAAGGATAGCGGACCTTCGGGTGTGACCAGCTTTGCTCACTGAGGGGCCCTTCCTGCCAGTTTGTGCGGCTGGCTTTAATCTGTGGAGCCCCGGGCACCCCCGAGATGCACCAAAACGTTTAACTGGTCCTCCCATAAACAAGCGCTTTGACGGCCAACCTAGAGGTGCCTTCTGCCCAGCCTGCCAGCCAATCGAATGAAAGAGCTCAGGGGGTGTGGTAAGGGCGTGGCCAACTACTGATCTGGGGCTCGGGAGGAAGGAGTCAAATCAATTTTTTGCTCAATGGAACCGCATTATCCGGTACTGATAGACGTTTGTGTGTCTTTGAGCACGTCTGTGATTTCCCACCTTGTTTGAATCCTTTCCTTTTCCGTTTAGTTTCATTCCTTTGTGCAAAGGATCCCGAGCAAAGAAAGGAGAGCCTGTTCTTAGTAAATATGAATTTCACAGAAATACAGCAGAAGTTCTTTGGTGTTGAAAAGATCGTTACTTATATCAGTTTTGTTAACGGGGAAATACAGAAGTGGAAGAAACTTAAGAGCCGCCTACCTGTTACCTCTAGGACCCAAAGGGAAGTTTATGCGCCAATAAGCCGGGGAGGAGTGTCAGGACTTCAGTGTTATTTATGCCACATTGGGCTCATTTATAGGCCGTTCTTTTCAGTCAGCAACATTTAAAATGTGGTTCCCAAACAGACTTTAGAAAAAGATCTTTCTCCTACAGAGAAAACTGGGGCAATTTCCAATGGTCCTAGCTCAGGAATGGCGTTGCTTGGAACTGCATTTTAAATGAACAATCGTTAGCTTAATGATTTACAGAATTTTATTTTATAAATCTGTATTGACACCACCCATTTGTGTGACCTTGGTAAGTAACTGCCACCTTGAGTCTTAGTGTCTTCATTTTGTGAAGTAGCAATGGCTGTTTGGATCAGACAGCTAGAACTGAAAGAGATACCAGAAGCTCTCTTATCCAACCCCCTCATTTTAAAGATGTGAAAACTGAAGTCCAGAGAGGTGTGATTTGTCCAAGGACACACACAGAGTGTCAGAAGCAGAATATGAACCCAAGTTCTCTGACTTAAGAGCCTCTGCTCTTTTGAAGATTCCAGTGGTATGGCCTGAGCTATTTAGCTTTTTTTTTTAAGTGACTTAACTTGAACAAGTGGATAGATGGCATACTTAAAGACATCTCCAAGTGATGAGCTAGAAGAGTAGGCAGACACGATCTTTAACATAATAGTGGTCTGTTTACTCCCTTGCCAGTTTTAGTTTTAAAGCCTGTAAGGTCGAATTTCTTTTTGTCCATCTTTTTAAACAACAAGGGGGAACCATGTACAATGTGACACAATTGGAGCTTAATGCAAAGTCATCGTATCTTTCTCTTCTTGCTGCAGCAAAATCCTTTAACACCGAAGTATTGAATTTGGCAGCAAAAATGGATGACTTTTTATAATACAAATACTTGTTAAGGAGTCTAGAGTAGCTGAATTCACTGAACACTTAAAAAGCTTGAAACATTCTGGGAGCGATCATACTCAGAGTTCAATATTTTACATTCAAACCATTAAGATTTGAGCAATAACCTCTTCTGTGTGTAGTATATGAACCCCCACCACTTTCCCCCCAAAGAACAAAGAAACTAAATCTTTCAAATGAGTTCTTAATTTTTGTGAGTGGTTCATCTTGGTTGACTCTATGTATCTATTATATACATACATACATACGTACATATTTTTATATATATATCATTTTTTAGACTTCCTTTTAGAATTCTTTCAGAAGCAAATGAGATTCCCTGATACAAATCATACAGTGTTAGAATATAAAACCTTACTCACTTTATAGAATATGCTTAGCTCCAAATAACTTAACTGTTTACACAAATCAAGTTCACACTGAAAGAATCAAAGCAGTAACTCACATTTATGTGTCAGCTTGAAGGTTTGCAGTCCTTTTCACACAAAGAGGTCAAATGATTTGCCCAAGGTCACACAATTGGCAAATGTTAGGTCCAGAATTTTAAACCCAGGTCTTTCCTGACTCCCCAAGTTTCACGCTCCATACACAGTATCCTACTGTTGGAAGCATTTATAACAGGCCTGCACAACCTGCGGTTCGCCAAAGGATTTAGGAAGGCTCCCGGGCTGCAGGTTGTGCAGGTCTGATTTAGAAGAACATGCTGCAGGATAATATTTTGGGGAGGGGGGGTGTTTTGTTTTTTCTAGGCAATGGGGTTGACTTGCTGAGGCTCACACAGCTACTAAGTGTCAAGTGTCTGAGGCCCCATTTGTACTCAGGTCCTCCTGACTCCAGGGCCTGTGCTCTATCCACTGTAGAGTAATATTTTGACAAGATGTTTTGAGCCTCAAACATTTCTTCCCAGGGTTGACTACTTTGATGGAGATAGAATTCATTTGTATGTATTGGCTTTGGAATATTTGCTTGAAATCAATTAAAGTATGACTTTTTGCCATCTTATGTTACTATATATTTTTTAAACATATATAAAAATGTTTTTATATAAAATTTTATGTTTAAATTATAAATTTTTATATAAAATTTTACACAAGTTTTGCCCACAGAACAAATTTCCTTCCCATTCATGTTTCATTTATTGAGTTTATTTTAAAAGACAGGTTAGTATTATAATTTATATTTAATTCTATGGAAGATTATTTCTAGAATGTATTTGCAATATACATTCATACACATAAATGTACATACTGGGCATAATTTAGCTTGATTTCTCATCCCATCTTGATTCTTACTCTCAGAATTTGGGCTGGGGGATGTTATGGGTAACGTGTTAAGTTTTCTTAAACACTTAAATGTATAATAACTCTAAATGTTGAATCTTTAGGGTCTGGGGTTAGTATACAAGCTACAGTTATTAAATATTGATACCCTAATGACTTAAGAAAAAAATCCAGCCTTTTTAATAGAGAACTAATTTATATACTAAGACATAATCAAAGACATTGTTAGATATTTGCTAAGATACCTAATTTTAGATATTTTCAGGAAACAGTACAGGTTCTTTAATATCTCTGATAAATACTTTGTAGATAACACATTATTTGGATTCTTTTGTTATTAATGATTTTCTTTAGTTTTTCTCAGTAATCATTAGAATCCGAGATTTACAGGCACGAAAGACCATCAAAGTCATCTAGTCTAGTGGTGTCAAACTCAGATAGAAACGGTGGTCATGAAACCAGACATGAGGTTTCTTACGAGCCGCATATTGACTTAGAAAACCACGTATATATATTTTTTATTTTTTTTTTAATTAATACACCAACACAATAAAATCAGATAGGAACTACATTTTAATCTGCTTCTGGCCTCTGAAGTATTGTGGGCCACATCCATTTGACAACCCCTAATGTCATCCAACTCCATTCTGCAGCAGAGGAAACTGAGTAGCAGAGAGATTGTGACCTTCCCAAGGTCACAATTTTAGAGGCAGGGTTTTGAACCCAGGTGCTGACTCCCAAACTTGCTGCCTTTTCTACTACATCTTGCTATTATCCCTACTAAAGTTCTTACACTCTTAATTCTTTTTGAAGGTCACCATAACAACTATTTCATTTACCTCTTTTTTACCAAAGAAATCCTAATAGTTATTCTTTCAGGGAGTCTTCTTAATATGTACTTAAGTTACAAATTTCATGATAAACATGAATATACCTAATTTCTTTGTTCTTGCTAAGTAACTCTTATAAGCCAGAATGCAAAAAGAAAAGACAGTAATATGACAAGTAAATAAGCTAAAGTGACATCTTTTGAAAGACTTGAAGTGCTAATAACTTTACAAAAGGAGAGATCTTTGATCTACATAGGAGCTGAAAAATTGTATTCTATTTATAATTCTCCCTATTTGTTATAAATATTTACAAATTATTCAACTTGAAATGTTAGCATAAAACTTGGAAAACCTACTGGACAGAATGAGAAAAATTCATTTTCCTAGTGAGTCTAGCTTACCCTTGTTAAGATTGTATTTGACTAGGTTCTCTGATTGCTGAAAGATTTCATCAAGATGATAGCCCAGCATATGTTTTTTAAGAATCCCCTACCTGACAGCAGGTTACATGTTCTAATAATATTGGCCAAACTAGATTATAGGTTGTTGTCCTTGTATTTCTTAAAATTTCAGAGGGGGTAGCCAGCTGTGTTATGACACATGGATCAAAAATATGGGGCAGTGGTGACCTGTGCAAAAAGACAGACATTTAATGCCTACTCATCTTTCAGTGTAAAGTCAACCTAACAAGTACACAGGCATCACTAATAGTAAAATGAGGGGTATTATACTTTAAACCTCAGTACCATGGCAATTTTTAAGAAAACATCTTTTTTTGTTTAAAAAAAAACAAAACAAAAAAATTGTTATATGAATGTGAATGTGAATGTATATATGTATCAGGGCCCAAACAATGACCAAGTGAGGCTTGTACTGTTGTTGGCCAATCAGTGAGAGTCAGTGATTTGGGTTGAAGGCATGGTTCTTAAGAAAGAAATCTATGCTGTAAACCCCCAAATATCTTAGAGG